AACTAGGCACCGCTGAAGGGACCGCAGCACCGACCAAATTTCGACGGAATCAAAGGCTTTCTCATAGTCCACATACGCCAGGCAAAGTAGCAGATTATACGCTTCGGACTTCTGTACCATTTGGCGAAGGGTATGTATGTGGTCTAGGGTACTAGAGCCTTTTCGGAAACCGGCTTGTTCCGGAGGCTGGAAGCCGTCGAGTCAGCGTGCGAGAAGATTCGTAATGACTCTCGAAAACAGCACGTAGACGCGGCTTATAAGGGATATCGGTGTGTAGTTCTTCAAGAGGGCGTTGTCACCTTTCTTAAAGAACAAGACCTCCATCCTCATCCATGCCTCCGGAGTAGTGCCACCATGGAGGACGGAATTAAAGAGCCTCTAAAGGACTTCAAGTACCGGTTTTCCACCCGCTTTCAGAAGCTCCGCTGTAATTCCATCCTCGCCCGGGGACTTGCCGTTTTTAAGGTGCTGGAGAGCCATTCTAATCTCGCTCAGACTGACGTCCGGGATATCATCGGAATAGTGTCGGATAAGACCCGCTCTTGGATCGTTACTCACACTTGCGTGTGGCTATGGAACCTCTCAATCTCACTCAGAATCTCAGGTTTCCCGGAAACGATGCTGCCACACTCAGTCTTCAGCTTTGACAGTTGGCTCTTACTGGCAGACAGATCTCTGGCAAAGACTTTGGAGCCCTGGTTCCGCTCAATCGCTTCTTCAATACGAGCAGTATTAAATTTGCGTAATTCTCGCCACATGCATTTGGAGATCTGTCTGTTCATCTTTACATTCAGCCTCATCTCCCGTCTAACAGCCATGAGATTAGATGTGATCGGAGAGCTTTTGTGTTCTTCTGCGGCCGGTCTTGCAGAACTTAGCTCCGACCGCATGGACAGTTTTCACGAGCTTGTCATTCATATCGTCCACTGCATTGCAATCTTCTAGGCACTGAAAGCGGTTACGTAACTCGAGCTGAAAGGTTTCGGGATTCTGGATTAGAGCACGAGGGGGACGGAGCGTTGACTTCATTAGACGAGACCTCTGCAATTTAACGTTTAGGTTCAGTGTGACTCTAACCATTCGGATGCGGTTGCGATCACTGAGACATCACTGAACAGTTGGCGTCTGGTCGTCATAATGAAGTCAATCTTATTTTTTGTCGAACCGTCGGGGCTCGACCAGGTCCACTTCCTGTGGGGACGCTTCTGGAAGAAAGAGTTCATCATAAAGAGTCCCTCTTTCTTCACGAAGTCAGCCAGCTGCTGGCCCCTACGGTTCCGTTGCCCTACTCCAAATTTCCCTAACTTCAGCTTACCGCTTTCTCTTCTGCCTAGTTTTGCGTTGATGTCTCCCATCAATACCGTGTAGTGGGTTTTGGAGGAATGCATGGCTCTAGAAATATCCTCATACATTTCCTCCACCTTCTCATCGGGATGTGCCGAGGTTGGTGCGTAAACCTGTATGACCTTCAGCGAATACCGTTTGGTAATTCTGAGTATCAGGTACGCGACCCTCGTCGGCACACTCCCAATCTTTACAACGTTGTTGACGAGAGACTTGTGGACGATAAATCCGACACCTCCTTGGGACAGATGGTCGCCCTCCCGGTGATAGAACAAGTTGCAGGACTCGAGGATTACCGTGTCCTCCCCCCTCTCTTCGGACCTCGGATAACCCAATAATACGCCAGCGCAACTTGTCTACCTCTTCTTCCAACTCCAGTATCTTCTCGTCAGTCCTCAGGGTGCGTGCATTATATGTTGCCAGGTCGAGTCGTCGTAGGTGGCAACCGAACCTCCACCGGAGATTCTTAGCACCCCCTGCCCCGCCGTTACCACGGTCGCCACCGTAGCCAGGAATAGCGGGGCCGCCGGGGACTGGGGGCCGTTTGTTTGCGTCGTTACTCATACTCATATTTGCCATAGTTGCCACGCTTGGCGAGAGGGTTGGCAACCGCAGTTTTTTATTATATCATTGCTGTTATCAGGAAGATGCTGCTGCTGATCTCCTGCCTGCGTTCCTCTGTCGCCTCTTACTACACCCACGGGAAGATATGTGGTAGTGGATATTCTCAACCGCCACTACACGGTAAATTTTCGTGATTATTCAACGACAATAAAATATATATACGTAAATTTTTAAATCTCTTTTTGATTATTCGACTCTGTAAAAAGTAGAAAGAATTTTCTTTTAAGATACATTTTTTAAAACAAAAATAACGTCAAATATAAGATACATGGCACTATTTTAAGTTTTAAGTAATATGAACCACATTTTTGTAAAGCTTTACTAAAATGCTATGTATAAACTATCGATGAACAGTTCTAAGTACCAACCGTTAGGAAACACGCGGACAGCTTTAAAGGCGCTGCCGCCTCCGCTATCCGATATAATGGATGAGGTTGTCCGCTGAGAGGTGGACACGAAGAATGCAACCCATTATGGATAGCACTAACTATACTCTCCGTCTGTTATAGAAGCATTTGTAAGCTTAATTACAAACCAAATAGCCCGAGACGCACAACCTTATACATCGGTTATTATCTAATTAACATACGAAAACGATTAAAATTTTACTCAATCAATTTACGATCGTTTTATAAATGGAACGTGAACGGGTCTTGAAATGCTAAACAAATATAAAAATAGCTCGAATGTTTTTTTTTATCTATTAACTCTATTTCTTCCTCAATATAAAGTATAGAAACTTTTAAGCAAATTTTGTGCTAAATGTAAAAACATCTGGCCTGATCAGTAACAATCCCTTCCAGACAAACCTTTAGTGAAAGAGGTTTCAGAGGAGCACAATTTTTGAGAATTTTAAATATATTTAAGGTTATTCACTCACCCTAAATTCGAATTATCATAAACTCAATTAGTCAGGGAGCAGCTTAAGACAGAACTGCCCCGGTGCTTTGCGAAGTGTAGTCAATGTAGAAACTAAGTACTGGCTCCACCTGCTCACCTGCGTCTTCAATCTAAATACGTCGGTATATATTTTTGTATATTAGCCGTAATGATTCCACGGTACGTCAGGAGTGGTTCCATAATTTGGTCAACACTGATGAACTCATCAATTTGCATAGGTATCTATCTGCACGACATATGTCCGTATGCGAATAATTCCATACCACGTCACTCGATTTTAATGATTAAATTATTTTAGTTAATTGAAAAAGTTTTAAAAATTTTACTTACATCTTATATTACGTTGCTAACTAATCAGACGGCTTCATTTTATTTCGCTCCAGATAAATCAGATCAGATCAGGTAATATGGTCAAGATGGCGCTGTTAGAAAAGTTTTAGTTTAGGATTAAAAAGTTGTTTACCATTACCACTTAGTTTTAATAACTAAGTTCTAAAAGATTTCTCGGCAACGGCTGTACCGATCTTAATATTTTTTTAATTAGATAGATTATACTTTACGTATGGCCCCATATGCATTTAAAGTTTAAAAAAAATCCAACCCTAAGAGTAGAAAAGAGGGAGATAAAGATTTTAATGTACCTACTAAGACGACCATGGAGTTACCTCTACACTCCTAAAGACGACATTCTAGTGTTCACCTTAAACTTGTGGTATTCCATAGACAAGTGAAAAGGCGTGAAATAATTTAAACTTTTAATGAAAAGAAATCCTAAAAATTACCGTGCCATTTCTATGTACTTTGTACTACAAAGAAATAGAACAGTAACCTAGCTACTACATATTTGAAATGATCGTTTTAAAACAGATGTTCATTTTATCAAAAATAAAATATTAAGTGTTAATTTATTTTGGATTTCCTTGCGTAAAGTGATTCGGCTTTACACAAGGAAGATCCAAAATGAATACGGGTGACAAACTAGTGTCACGTTTTACAGGTCCGGGTAAATCACAGGGTACCTTTATGCACTGGGGCAGATCACCACAACCCTATCAGTCTCTTTTGTGATCTATCAAAGGCATTTGACTGTGTGGATCATAAGGCTTCTCGTGAGTGCCACATTTTTCCATAATTATGCAACATACTTATAAATAATATTTAAAGATTATTTTAGGAGTATCTAAGCCAACTTTCTCATGACCAGCATCTGTAGGTAGAAAACAGTACAGTTAAGCTGAGCAATCAAACTCAGTTCATGAGACAAAGAAAAGAGAGCGTGCAAGTCCTTCCCTGAGAGCAGTCTCGTAAATTTCTGAGATTCAACGCCACCAAAACAAGAATTTCATTGATAAAAGGGGTGCTCCAACTTTGTTTTCTATGTGCAGGATGTACCTATTTTTGGAATACTCTGACTGCCTTTAATTCTTAGGAACTGCAGTTGTCTTATGGGTAAGAGTGAATGTGGTTTGACAAGAGAAACTAGTGAACTACAGCTGCACATACAAAGCCACTTTTTTAATAAAGTCAGAGTGCCTAAATCAGGTTTAAGTAGATATTTAGAGTGAATATAAAATTAATCACAGAGAACATACATCATGGTCTGGATCATACATATAATCGTATCTAAAAACACTATTTTAACTGTTACTGCAATCGAGTAATTCCTGATCATTCAATGCTCCAATTGGTTCTACTTTGAAGGATACGAGAGTCATATGTTATGAGTCATTTCAACTTAGTCCTCATGAGTTATACCTGATGCATAATATTTGCTTGAGATTAGTTGCAGGACTGTATAATTAACCTACCAGAAAGACTGTTACTACTTGTTTTGTATAAAACATAATGAAAATAAAATACAGACATACTATTTTTTATTTATTTACACAAAAGCACCTTATGAAATCAATTATTCATCATCAAAATTAAATCTTCTCATTCCATCAAACCGAAAACCATATGCTGCTGCATTTTTGACGTCCACTAGCGCTGGATTGCGGTGCTTGTAAAAACTGCCATGACCATGCGCAGGTCTTGATGAACCGTTAGGTATTCCATGCGCTTGTCGCGGATAAAATGCCTCGAATGTACCGCTAGATGGCAGAACGTCCCTCAAATCATCATCTTCTGGATCATATGGACGGCTGGTAGATGGCGCAAGCATCGCCACAAATAATATCGCGAAAAGCGTGCGCATCTGCAATTTAAGTAATTAAAATAAGATACGGATTACGAAAATAATAAAATGAGTGTTTCATACTTCACTTACAATGGAGGCGGCTCCAGATGCAAATTAAGTGCGCAGTGAGTGATTCAATGATGCTGGTTGCGTAAAAGAATGTGACAGATTGGAGCGCGGCCGCGGTGGCGGGCGGCGGCACTGGTTTACCTTGACGGGGAACAGATCATGGTGGAAACAAGGCTAGCCTCACGACTGTATGAAGTAATACTTTCCATTTAGCTATTTACTATTCACGCACAAACTTAGGTTACTACATATGCGAAATGCTAATAATATTTCGTGCTAAAGTGCGCAAACTATAACACATTATAAAGTTAATTATTTTCAAACTTTTACATGCACTTACTATTTCTAAAATATTTTTAGTTTTGTTAAACCATTAAATTGTTTAAATAATGTTCCCGCGCATATAAATACTACTTGCTTACTCTAATGAAATCCTTATTATAGATTATAAGTAAATTGATATTTTGTTGTGTTATTAAATTAAAAAATTTACATATAACATAAACACTCACGCCTGTTACTGGAGGGGTAAGCAGAGACGATGGAATATGGTCTTCAATATAGAACCATCCTGACACACCTCTCGACTTCCTCTTTTACATCCGTATAAATACGCATACCTACATGCTCTCTTGACCAGGCACATCCTCAATATGTCGCCAATTTAGTAGATAAACTTTCATCTGTGGCATCCCTTCCAGACTTTTCTGTTCACTTCGGCAACATAAATTTGTTTTGTCGCTCTTTTCTCGTTCATGACAAAAATAACAATATTATTTTCCACACATACCTACGGCAAGGAAGCTTTCACCATTCTCATTTATATTTTCATCACCAAACCTTCTCAATACCATTTCATAACCAGACCTCTTCGCTTCAAACTTTCCATCAAAAAAAGCCTTACATTTCATTAACACCAACCTATCTTCAAAACTGCTCTCGGACATAAGTGGGCTTAGACATGTGTGGGGCCTAGGCCCCTAGAAAAAACAACTTCTTTAAATCCACTTTATCACTTCACACAATTCCTGGCATGCCTGCTTGGTCTGGTCTATACCAGACCAGTAAGCGGTATACATGCCATGTGCAATGGCATCCTTTACCTTCCGTTTCGTCTCTTTTATATATAACACATCTATTCGTCCATCATTCATCATTTCGCGTAGCTCATCCATCTTATCATTATTAATTGCTCCACAACTCCACATACATTTCCACATACATTCAGCGTAGCCAGACGGGCTTCCGCAATCCACTTTTCGCCCTACCAGGAGACAGAACACGACGGTCTGCGTACCTTGTCGCCGGTTTTACTCCCTAAGATTCTTCGCACCACTGCCCCATTAAAGGGGAGCCGGGAACTCGGGACCATTTCTTTCTTTCTGCCCCACGGTGTGAAATAGAGGGTGGTAATTTTACTCCGCTACCACACGGTGAGGAGCTGAGTCTCTTCTTTCGGCTTGTCGCTCGTTTAGTACCACCAGAGAGACACGTGTAGAATAGGCCTATGATTAGCTGGTCGTCGCCTACGAACGCAAGCGACTCATTCCTCTACATTAGCCATATATAATTACTTGTCAAATAAACATAAAAATAATTAAATTTCCGGTTAAAGTAATGGATAGCCGCAATCCCAGCTGCCTTATATGCAAAAAATATTTATATGTATATTATAATCACTACGTTTTAGTTAAAGGTCTTCGGGATTGTAATGTAGGCCAAGGGATAATTAAAATGTTATTGTTATGTATGTTATGTGTATTTGTTATGTATTAAATTAAAACTTATAACCCAAAATGTATGTGTATTTCTCTGTTAATTCTTGTTCCATAGTCAGCTGTCGTACTAGTACACACTGAATCACTGCTAACTCGACATCATCACGCATCTATAGACTTGCCTGTTTTTTTTAATAAGTAAGAGTAAAAGTTACAACTGAGTTTTTTCACGTGATAGATCCATGTTGGAGCTATACCTATTAGTAGTATAGTTGTAGTATGAATGGGTCGGGTATGGACCACGCTCTCAAAGAATACCAGTGTAAAATGGCAGTCTAACGCTGCTATGTTTCGTATGGTAAGTGTAGAAGAGAAATTCCATCTTAATCCTCACAGGTGACAACGCAACTGCATTTTGATTTGTAATCGAGGATAGATGTAGATATCTATAGGCCACAGCAACCACTTACCATTAGGTGCACTGTGTGCTCGATTGTTACCTAATCCTATAAAAAACCACACAGTAACAATCCACTATATGGATATGGATGCTAACAGCATAGACATCTAATTTCGCTAAAGAATCAGAAGGCAGATGCTTTGTTACAACTGGATTTAAGTGATAGAATGCCACGTTACAAGTAAATTGGGCATCTGGTTCTCGTAATATAGTTTTACACTAGTATTACGTAAGATATTCTTATCATTATTTTTGTCCGATATTCCCCAGAAATGTCGCGTTGCCAGAGATATCTTAGGGATGATTATTCCCCGAGAACCGGAACAATCTGTCGGAAGTCGAGTCTTTGTTAAACAAAATCTCGGATTGGGACGACTAAATCTAGTCTAGTCTAGCCTTCAGAAAACACCGATTTGCGCGTTTACCGCTAAAAATAACTCCTTTTAATTATATATATCCTATTAAAATAACGCATTTTCCTTGATGGCTCAGCCATCAGCCAGCATCGAAATTCTCGTATCGAATGACGTGTAGCTTTGTGATCATTTGGACGGATAGGCTAAACTGGACTCTAAAAAGCTTGGTGAACTCAATAGAACGGGACAGTATTTTATGGTAACACAGTAACAGGACAGTATTTTAAGGATCAGGTTCAGCCTCACATAGAATACTGGTCTCATCTCTGGGCCGAGGCTTCCAGCGCCAGCTTTTTTCACTTAACCACATCCAGCACAGAGTCTCAAACCGAGTTCTTTCTGATCGGCACGATTCATTGGACCTGCGAAGAGATGTTTCATCCCTTTGCATTTTCTATCGCAATTACGTGAGGAGTGCTCTGAGGAATCATTCGAATTAATTCAATCCGCCAAATTTCACTAATGCACATCGCGACAAAACTCACGATACCATCCACATCTGGATGCTTGGCGGATTACCACTGAGCGCTTTACGTTTTCTTCTTCTCACTTTTTTTTGGAATCGACTACCGCCAGCGATTTTTCGGACCAATAAGACTTGGGGACCTTCAAGAAACGAGCTTACTCTTTTTTAAAAGACTGGCAACGGACTAGCAATTCCCTTAATGTTGCAGTTGTTTACAGGTGGCGATCGATACCTACCATCAGGCGAGCCGCATGCTTGTTTGAACCCTCTCCTGTAAAAAAGAGTTATAAATATTTTTGAGGGAGTTAGTAACTGGCGGTGACAACCTACTGGTTCCGCCACTTTATTGTCATGGTTACGTAATATAATTACGAGGAATAATACTAGGGCCAGAAAAAAAACATCATATAATTACCATATTTCATCTTTAATAAAATTCAGCAAAAATACATAAATTTATGATAGAAAAGGGCCCACTGTTATAATAATATGTGTAGGTATGGTAAACGAGAAAGTTCTACTAGTACAAACTATAATATTTATTTGTTACATACATATCTAAGATTTGTTTTTCTGTGTGATTTCTAAACATGATATATTTTTATTTTACTTTTAATCCCTTGACATATAAAATTGTTTTTTCTGTGTAATTTTTAAATTTTAAGTTTAGAAATGGTTTTTCTTATTGAAGATTTTAACATTAGAGATGTTAAAATAAATTTGTGAATATATGAACGATAATCCGGAAGAGAATAGTTAACACTTTTACAGATACAATAGTAAGACCTTTATGTAGGTCACGATATAGGGGAAGGGTTAAGACCATATCCGGGTGGCGTTTAACTCATACAAACGTATTCCTCTGTTCCGTTTTTGGTTAATGCTACTTGAGCAAATATATTTTCACGGTACAATCTTTATCTACCACTGCCATCGTCCTGTTTTTGATGTGTAAAATCTTTCCTCTCGCTTTCACGCAATCTGTAGGAGTGATTTCGTGAAAAGGGACGGAAGTATGTAACAGGAAGCCGATGAAACGCGCGCTATTTGATTTGACCAATGAGCGCGCGCGGTATTAGTAGTGTGCTGTTATATAAATTAATTTATAAATGTAAGCTATATCAATAAATATATTTACACTTGATAACAGGTGTCTCAAAAAAGGGCCAGATCATTGATAAAAATGCAAGTGAGTAATAATGAATAATTATTCGAATAAATATTTCAATATTCAGCTTTTGTAAATTTTGAGGTCAATTTCTGTCGCTGCTCAATTGATATTTTTTATTTATATTAATTTAGAAAAAAAACACAGCATTTTTTGGAATTTACTGTTAATAAAAATTTAATGCATATTACGAAGGTGAGATGTCAAATGTTAAACATCAAATATGCGACTAAATAGAATAGAGAGATAGAGAGAGAGAATAGAAGAATAGAGAGGCCCGCTTATTTTTTGGTCTATAAATAAATTTATTATAAAACCTTCAGAAATTTCTAAAATTGCTCAATTATACGGCCGTTAATAAACATCCAGTAAAAAATAAATAAAAGAATAACATATAAAGACGTAGCCTTATCCTTGAAATTAAAACAGGTTCGATTTAGGAGCAGGAAACAGAAGAATACAGATGATATTGGTAAATTTTTCACGCCGATCGTACTGATCAGTCCGAGCTGCAGATTACAATCGAAATGAAAACATTAGATTATGTATTTGAAACCTATCCTTGAAATTTCTAGCAGCCCGGTTATCCTCTTAATTCCAGCTGTTGAACCAATGGGTGCGTTTGGCAAAAAAAAGCGCTAGCAAGCGCTTACAAGCGCTGAAATAGTTTTCGGCCGGGACACGATTACTACTTCAATAGCGCTGACACAATCCGCCATTTTGCTTATTTAATTTGTTTGTTTTGAAGTAGATTTTATAAGTTGTTTTGTGCAATATTAGTTTTAAGTAATATAATAACGTTAATAAATATATACATGTTATTAAAAATTCATGATTGGTAAGTTTTTAATATAAATACTTTACAAACATATATTTAAATTAGGTTAGGTTCCCCGGTTAAAACTAACATCGTGTCCTGGAGGAAAATAGCTACTTACGATTTGACAGCGCTTACCGCTTACGATCGCCATTTTGCTTACAAGCGCTTGCTAGCGCTTTTTTCTGCCAAACGCACCCAATAACTCAGTTTGGATATTCTCTTAGTTTCAGTTACTCAGTTTTAAGGAAACCGTAGAACCAATTAAAAGTTTAATTCGGTATATAATATATATTGAAGCGGAAACTACTCAAACGGTTGAAGATATATTATGGTTATTTGCCTTTCATGCCTACGAAGTCACAGGCGCAGTTAGTATTCAATATATCTTTGTTGACGTCACACAAAAAGCAAAGCCTTAAAAAGTTGCAACATACAAGGCTATTGTAAAAAGTATTTACAGGCATTAATATACGTCATTTGATAATAATTATTACATATTTTCAATATCTCTAGCATAATTGCAGTTAAAATACTGTAACAACTGCTATTTTGTTATATTTTCAATGCTACATATAAAAATATTGCGTTAAGAAAACATGTTTTGTAATAGTATGTGGGATCGCAGCCAACTAGTTTAAAGTTTAAATTAGCTTTTCAGTTAACAGTCTAGCGTAATTTAGCCGCCTCGTTTACTTATTTCGTGAAAAATAAATATAAAAGAATAACATATAAAGACGTAGTTGACCATGGACCATGGTCTGTTCTGTGCCTAATTATGCGCAATGTGCTGTATTATATAAATTTACACGACTTTAAATTATTATTATATATATATATATATATATATATATATATATATATATATATATATATATATATATATATATATAGGCAAAATAACCTACTGTCACATATTACAAGATAGGTGCAATGTATTAGACGCATCGACTGAATATCATTCAGGCCAGTAGTTGGACGGCGCCATCAAAAGCCTAGGTTGCTAACTGAAAGGTTAATTAAGCTATTTGGCTGCGACATGTATATTATGACATATAATATGTTTAGAAGCTAAGTATATAAATCTGGTATCGTTGAGACTTTACTTTTACTGATTTTCGTTGTCATCGTCATCATCATCATCATCACCATAGTCAATCAAAACTCCACTGCTGAACAAAGGACTCCCCCATGTATCGTCACGCTTGGAAAACAACCGCATTTTTTATCACCTTAGTTGTGATTAAAAAAAACGATTTATATTTTCTGTCCAAAACGACGATAAGTGGATGCTGTAGTCCATAGATACCTACGACATCTATCATTGCTTGAGAATAAAAACGCAGATGCATTGTCACGCCACAAGTAAATATGAAATAGAAGAGAAGGTGAGAGAATGAGTAATATGGGCAAATGGTGAAGAAAAATTAATTTCAAAAAATCTCAAACATTCTGTCCATTTTATCTTTAAATTCGAAATGCGTGGTAATGCATTATTTTAACTGGTTTTAGTGCGCAGCAGTATACAGTATGCAGATATATTCGTAAGGATCGATCGGAGAAAAACGTTTATCCACACATTCATGAATAATTTCTTACAAAAGTAGAAGTCTCATTTACTCGTATTTTCAAAAACTGCAATAACGGTATATCATTATTTATATATAATTGACTTAAGTATAAATTGTGGCTGCTTTAGCGGTAAATGGAAATATCGTGAGGAAACTAACGTGCATATCGAAAGTATAAATATTTCGAAGACGTGAACTCCGCTAGCATGCACTAATTCCGCGCGGCTCCTGTACCCCCGCAGAAATGACAGGAGGTCCGTGCACAACAGTGGGACGTTATATCCAGTACCCTTTATTGTATCTTAATATTATTTTTGCATTTTCAAAATGCCAAAATGTGCGTACTGCCAGTGACGACATATGGATTTGGAAGTGATCCTTCACTGCTAGCCATACGAGGAAGCTCAGTCGATCAACGGACTATGGAAAGTTCTGGGAATTTCTCTCTCTCTCTACGTGATAGGCTTAGAAATGAGGATATCCACAGTAGAACTAAAGCAACTGACATAACCCAACGGATCTGCAAGCCTAAGTGGCAATGGACCACACACAGCTCGTAAAAACCGACAACCGATGAGGAAGAAAGTTTCTCGAGCAGCAGCCTCGTACCAGTAAGCGAAGCGTAGGGTGGCCTCCAACTAGATGCAGTTAGGACTTACTAAGACATGCAGGAAGTCGATGGATGCAGGTGGCTTAGGACCGTGCTTTGTGACATTCCTTGAGGCAGGTCGATATTCAGCAGTGGATTTGTGAATGGCTGTAATGACGATGACGATGGTGATGATTTTCGAAATGAGAATATTTAGATAATTAGGTGGCAGCACAAGGGGAAATTGGCGCCGTCATTAAGTAACTCTTTAAATAGGCTAACACCTTTAAAGTGCCTGTGAATACTTTAAATATTAAAACTACTTCATCTGAGTGCTAAAATACATAATTTACATGAAAAACATATGAATATAATACCGTATTTACATACGTCGATTACACATATTGGTAAAATTCGAATTAAATCTATCGAGGCCCCTGGCGGCAGATTTTAGGGGACAACATTTTGAAGAGAAATAAGTCAGCTTTCGACTTAACTTTTAAATGGTGCCAAAAAAAATTTTAAAAATCGTAAAATTAGTTCTTACTGAATACTTTTGATTAAAATATAAGTGAAACTGTAGCGTTGAAAGCACACTCGTGCCAACTATTAAATTAGGCCTCATAAGTGATTTGAATACTAAAGTATGTCCAAAAGCACTATTGTAATCATTAACGGCATACGTATGCCCTTTTATCAACAATATCCGTAATAATGCAAGATGATTCAATTCTACAACAATCATTAGAGTTATATTTCAGAGACCTATCAAAAGTATAACCATTTAAAACTTGAACAAACATGTTCTTGAATTGTACATATTGAGGTAAATATATATTTAGAATTTATTAATTCCTAATTTATGTGATATGAAGACACTAGACGGAAGCGCTCTATGTCGCTCTAACATTTTCAATGTCGTAGTTAAGGGCGCGTACACACCATGGTGTGTCACAGTACTACATCAAAGCAAAAACGAGAACTAACTTTTGCACACATGTATATCACGCGTTTTACATTCCTATTCAAAAGTTTCCGTACCAATTTATAAAAATTGTAAATGAACTTTTGATATAACGTTTTCAAGCAAGCCAGATCGAAAACACATTGGTGTGAACGCGCCTCATAACATAAACGTTCATTTTGGATATTATACAACAATACAACATTTCAATACGCATAACAATTACGCTGTATATTATGTTCAAAGAGCATAATATGCGAGGTGACGACGTGAAGAGTTCGTGCTACTCGTAAGCAGGGTGAACACATCGTTTGTAACTGATTCTACTCAACGCAATCGTATTAACCTCGTACATTTTAGCGAGTTACCGTTATATTATAATACAATCTAATAAATTGAAGTGAAATGGGTAAAAGTAGCACAAACGAATTATCATAATGAATCGTTTATATTAATGTAGTTTTATCGCATTCTAATAACAATGAAATTATCGATGGTTTAATATAATTTTAAGTAATTGTCGACAACCTTAGTAACATAATGTGTTATCGTCATGTATAGTAATATAAACTGCACTTTTTTGTAAACTTAAAATAAGACTATATATATATATATATATATATATATATATATATATATATATATATATATATATATATATATATATATATATATATATATAATATATTATACGTATCAATATACCTCAGTCATCATTTTCCAACCTATGAAAAAGGTAAACAAAACAGTATCACGAAAAAACTTTTAATCAATAATGGAATTTAAATTTCAACAAAAAAAATTACATTTAACTTACTATCTAAAATAGGTTGTAAGACTTTTGTACTTTCTCATTTAAGCGATTGCGGCACTAAAAGGTTGATAAACGATGATTTAAGTTATGTCAGTGCATTTCATTTCAAAATTCAATACAAGCTTCTTATTTTAATTGCTAATGTCCACTGATCACAAAATAACGCAATGAAAAAATAATAAAGTGAAACATTTTAACAAAAGGCGCAATTGGATATTAGACACTGCTTGTAAACGATTCCTTAGACAAAAATTTGTTCAGAATGTTGTGTGTACAAATCCTCGAAAATTTAAATATATGTAGACACGATGTCTTAACTGAGGACTAAGGTGAAATACCTCATTAGGGCTCACCCAAATCCCTCCCCCCACTCTCTTTGTCTCTCTCGTGATAAGCTAGCTTGTGAGTAGCTTACGTGAGTATCTGCGGGATTGTTCAACCATTAGTGCGGAACCTCGCGTGGCTGCGTAGAACATTCGCGAGCATTTTGGCTTTCAACGTGCGTCAGTATCATAGAATACTATAATACACAATAGAATGGCGGTCAACCCTATTTTGTACGACGGTAGGCGTCGCCGTGCTCCCAATACACCCAATTACAACATACAACCAATTACGTCGTATTATCAGTTAATCACTACTACAAACGTGATTCGCTGTGTTGACAGATGGATTTTAATACATATTTATTTGTAAATTTTCTAAATAATTTGCACGCGAAGTTTGGAAACGATTTTAACGTCAAAACACATCCCGTGTTGACATTTATACGTGGGAATTGACGGGTTGTGGCATTTTAGTGGCTACACGGGCTCCGCCCACTCCCCCGTTATATTATGTACGTATTATAGTATTCTATGGTCAGTATAATAGTATGAAGCACCCTGAGTGTAAAAATTCTTCGCTTAACATCAGCGACTGCAGTACACGCGCGTGTAGCTACGAGAAGTATACGCGAATAATTTCTTGCGTGCTATTTTCAACTCTATTTTGAACCGGATTTAATTTATTATTAATTATTCAGTTAAAATCGATGGGAGGGTCAGCAGAGTACTCTGTGCGAGCATGGTCCCTCCCGGTCGACCCATTCGAGCTGCTACCAGCTGTAGTGTAGCCCTATCACGTTAATATTTTTTGTATATGGTATTGAGTTTAATTTAATTATTATAAAGATACGCTTGTTTGTTGCAACAACGCGAACGTAGTACGCGATATTTATAACGGAAATATTTTTTATTTTAAGTTTTGTCAAATATCCAATCTCGCCTATGTCATCCCTCTACTGTTAAATAATGGAATAATGAAATATCACTAACATTTAATTAAAAATTGTATTTTGTTTCTCTGATAAATATCAAAAATAGATCTCAATAGCATGAACTCATTTTGCTGTCAAATTGATAATATGACCTATCTTTAACCACTTGTATACCAAACAAAATAATGACGATGAATTATGTGACCTAAGTTCCCCACAAAAATATAATTTATAGACATATTTATATATTTATTGTTAGGCACGACTGTGTTAAAGATATAAACATTTAAATAAATGTGGTGTTATTTTAGAATCACGACTAG